AAAATGTGCAACACTTTCTCCTACCAGCACTGGGTGCTGACCCCCATGAGCCCTTCCGTCAGGACGGAGGCCAGCCTTCTCCAAGAGGTTGGCTGGCATGAAGAATGCACAAGAACAGTCAAAACCTGGAATTCAAGCTGGGCTTTTTCTGCCTCACACAACAGTAAAATATGGCAGAACAGAGTTAGTCTGTTGATATGTGTCAGGGCAGAAGACAGTGTTTTCCACTCCTCGGCACTCAGATTGAGCCCCCTGAAAAATCATCCCATTGACCAAATGTTCTTAAGATAACAAAATAAATAGAATCAACCCCGAACGTTTTTCTTGTTCATCCTTGGCTTTATGATCCATGAGGCCACCCTTAATTTCCCTATTCCAAGCATAAGAGCTAGAAAAATAGAAAAATAGAAATGAAAACTGAGCTCATGAGACAAGACTACCCCCCACCAAAGTCAAGTTGGTCCTGTGTGGGTTTTGGAGCCCACCCAGGCAGAGCAGCTCGCAAGACCCTAAGATCACAATGTACTCTGCAATTACGCCACAAGGCTGACAATAGCGTTTTGTCAGTAAAATAAGAAGAAATAGTTCTGAAGACACATGGGGAATACGTAGGGGGGGGCTAACTAAATAAAAGCAGCGATTTTGTTCAGTAGTCTTTTGAGCAGCAGAGCGGGCTGACAGAAGGGCTATAGGATGGCACAGTATTTCCCTCCACAGATGTCACAGGGACACTACTGCATGCGATTTAAGATTAATCTCTTGAATCAAAATGCTACCATGTACACTAATGAGCAAAAACTCTCTGGCAGAGTATCTGTCCCTGGGGCTCCTGCTCCAGGTAAGAAGCTTGTCTCCGTGCTATTGTAGAAACTCTCTCTCGGCAGAGTGCGGTGAGGCTGGTGGTATAACTTGCCCCCGGTTCACAATTTTCCATTTCAGACTCACTGTCTCTGTCTTGGTTTCGGTCTATTTACTCGGAGCCATTTCTTAACAATGTCTAATTTCCTCAAGGAATCCCTCTGAGTCCCCTCTCTTAGAAATGCTGCCATATCTTTTTTTTTAATCACTGAAAGGCACAAATATCCTTCCTGAGCTCTCTTACCATCCAGCCTGATTAAATACATAGATTTCAGTTTCCATACATTTTCTACACAGTAGGAGTTCCCAAAATGCAGCCTCTGGGGATATAAAGTGTGGCCCCAACTGCAGCTCAATGAGATGAAAACAAAGCCGATCAGGTACGGTTTTTACTGTTAATGAGCCTAACCAGCAGGCAGTTATTACTCAGTCTGGAAGACATAAGTGGTTGGAATCATAGCACATTCATTTTTTATTTATAGTGATGCACGTTCACATTAGAAGCCTTCCAGCAGCTGGCATTTTGCCAGGGCCTGACCATCAGTGTGATAAAATTTGAACATCTTGAAGATATAGAATGCCTTTTGTTGCTTTTTTTTTTTTAATAGCATTCTTTTCCCCTCCTACTCGCAACTCCCTTGACCGTCAAAAGTGGACAACGAGGCTTAATTCATTTAGGATCCTGGCCCTTACTGAAAATGAAAGAAATGAGTCCTTTCTCACCTGATGGTGAGGTACAAGTCAAACACAAGCTGATCTTCTCGTAATAAAGCAAAGGCTCAAGCCTTCTGGCAAATAAAAGAGTAGAAATGAACCCTTGGACAAGGACCATAAAGAAATGGGTTCTTGGAGAGGATGCATGTTATTAGCCTGTTGATCTATTAATGGCAACTGTAAATACCTCACCCAAAATCACAGTGACTCTGAAGCATTTAACTGGAGAGGCTCACAGAGCCTGGCCAGGAGAATGCAATACGAGGAACCCGCAGTAGTTTGCCTCACCTTGCTAGTCATCGGTTTCCAATCTAACCCCTCCCCTGAGTTTAAGTTACAAACCTCAATAACTGTGTGGCAGGCTTGACAGCAATTAACATTACTCAGCTGCCAGCTGGGCTTTAAAATCTCCCTTCCAAGTGATCTTGTAACATCGGTTTTAGAAACAGCCTGACAGGGTGCTGCTCCGTGCTGAGGAGCTGGGTCCTGCCTCACTGAACTTGGTGAGATTTTGCTATTGATTGCAGGGGGAGCTGGTAAATCAACGGTAGAGTAAGGGTAAATGGCACTGAGCTGTTGTTCGGAGCGTGAGGCTTCGTTTTTTGTTTTTTCTTCATCTTCTCAGTGAGGGGACTTCACAGAAAGCACTACTGAGAATTTATCATTATCAGTTTAGTTCTTTAGTCCTGTGTATTACTCATATACAGGAAGGAGCAGGACATGCTGCAAAGCACTCCTTGACCCTCATACCTCAATGTTCAGACTTTAAAAGTCAAGGGGAACTTTCTAAGTCATTTAAAGCCAAGAAATAAGAGTTCTGTTGGAAAATAACTAGCTGGAGTCAAACCCCCATCAGTTTTAAAGCCAGCCCAGCAGCGCCGGTAGCGGTGCTCTTGGCTTGGGACGATTGCTGGGGCAGTAGGGTCAGGCTGAGTGTGGCTCCAGGGGGGCCTGGGCCCAGCCGTGAGTCCCGCTGAGGGCTGACAGACAGACAGACAGACACTTATTTCCTCCCTGCTGCCACCTGAAACAGGACGGAGACATTTATTTTCCCGCAAAGACAAGGGATGGAAAAGCAGTTCTTAAGCGAAGGCTGCTCTCCCTGTCACGCAGCCCTGTCTCTGGGCCGCGGGCTGGGCCCTCTCCTCCGCCTGCTTCCCACAGCCGGCACCGATGCGGAGAGCGGCGAAGCGAGTACTCGGGCCTCCCCCACAGCACTCGCCCCTGAAACAGGACGGAGACATTTATTTTCCCGCAAAGACAAGGGATGGAAAAGCAGTTCTTAAGCGAAGGCTGCTCTCCCTGTCACGCAGCCCTGTCTCTGGGCCGCGGGCTGGGCCCTCTCCTCCGCCTGCTTCCCACAGCCGGCACCGATGCGGAGAGCGGCGAAGCGAGTACTCGGGCCTCCCCCACAGCACTCGCCCGGCCGGCGTCTGCGAGCGGGGAGTTGGTGG